TTATAAACTATACCAATAGAAAAATACATATTAATAATATAATACTTAAGAAATTGATGAACAAGTGGATTGCGGCGAATAATTACTATTAACCTTTTTTTTTACGATGCTAAGTAACCAGAAAAATAAGTCGTGCGGCTGTCAGTAAGCAATACGCCTGTCTATAACAGTTGCAGTGTACCTTAGAGCGTTAAATCGCGAAGATCGTAGGGGCCCTGCCGCTGCGCCCGTCATCCTGAGACATAAGTTGACAAGTCCCATGTGCCTGTAATTTCACCAGCACCCTTACCCTTCAAAACCGGATCGCAGTAATGCTGATATTACTGCTTGGTAGCAGAAATAGGTAAGGTGGCAGTAGGCACTACCTTGGACGTACTCTTTCATAAGGAGCTCTACTGCTAGTGGATCTTCACACTGTTAAATTTTGTTAAAAATTGATCTTATAAATGTGAAGCTGAGTTGTGGAAACGTCTTGATCATCAACCTCTTACATTTCACATATAAACTTAAAATTAAAATACTAAAAAAATATTACAGTTCTAAAACCAATACTGAGGTACCCTCTTGCCAACAAAAAAAAGAATCATCAAAATCTATTCAGAAATGGACGTAGTTAAACAAAAATGACCCAATACACATCCACTCTCTTTCGAGATATGGCAGTTTGAAGTTTAAAAGTGTTTCTCACTCTTCCTTTATCTTCAAAACTTATAATGATAGATATCTCCAGAGACATTTCTTTCATATTTATATGTTGGATATTTTTGCTGATCTAAGAGGTTAGACTTTAGGAACCGTTTGGTACGTTATAACTAATTATTTCATAATTTTGTGGATTGGATCCTTTTTACTTAACTACGTCCAATGCTGGGAGCTACCACGTAACGTACCAGAGGCGAGGCGTCCACATAACACGATTCCCGCAGGCTTGCCTAAAATTTACCGCGTATTAACCAAACGATTGCACTAAACAGCGCGCATATCCCACTGCTTAAAAACATATTCAAAATATTCACTATTAAACGAGGTAATAACTTATCCCGGTGCATCTCAACCAGTCAAATCCATCAAAACACATGCACACATTCGCAAAAATCCGCTATAAAATATCTAAAGAAATGGCGGCCCAGAAGCTGGAATTAATCGGCTTTTAGTCGAATAGCGTTCACGTAAATTTAAACCTTATTCCAACAAATTACTGTTTAATTTGTTTTATTGTCAGAATCGTTGCTAGTTGTAAGACTTTCTTAATGTAACAAAATTATTATAATAGCAAATTAACTCTTAACTTGCGGAAGTCAAGACGAAATATGGTTGATTTCCATTTTGTAAATCTTAACGATAAATAGTATCTATATCTATTTGGGTGTTCCTTTTTAAAAGGGCTACGTAAAGAATGTATGTGGAAGGCCAGGTAATTTGTGGGTATTTAAAATAGCAACACTTAGCATTCATGGGTATGCTTACTAACCACAGACATAGATATATCTGTGCTACTAACAAACTTTCGTATCGAAACGGGCTGCATAAAACGTAGTAAATTAGCTTAAAAACCATAGTTATTTTATGTGTAGAATAAGTTCACCTGTGAATGAATTCAAAAAGTTAAACCTTCGGCTTTACCAAGGAAAATTTTTACTCCTCGCCTCTGTAACATACATACAAAAAATACAGTCGAATAGAGAACCTCCTCCTTTTTGTGACGTCGGTTAAAAACTATAGAAAGGTGAAATTTTCTTTTAGGAAAGTGGCACCCCCAGTACAGCCCCATCAAGTTTTCTTATATAATATCGTACTTACCGTTTTCTAAAACAAAACAAGTAAGAATGCCTGCGATTACTTAATCTTTAAGGTAAAGTTGTCATTCAGGCCGTGACTTCCGGTGTGCCTTTTCGACTCGCGTCATTTTACTTTGTTATCGTTTACACTTTCGTTTGTTATAGTTATCAGTTAATTTCCTTTTGAAACCTTCCATTTGTTTGTTTTACATTAATATATATTATGTTAAAAATTAATTTCGTTATTATGGGGATCTAAACCATACCTTCTTCTCCTGCCCCTCAATTGACCACTTTCAAATCCGAGCTCCTGGCAATCAGTATCCCACTCCCCACTTCCATAACAAGTTTATTATATGCAACAAAGATATTTTTAAAGTCATAATGTTTTTAAAGGCCAGTGTCTTATTTATCGAAGCTTTAATTTTTTAACTCAACCTACCATATCCTTTTCCGTCCAAATTCCGTACCTCTTCCGTAATCTGTAATTCTGCTTTCCCAAACCTTTCATTGGCTAAATGCGAAGGCAAAGCCATTAATCTCAAAAAAAAAATTCATCACCAGGTACTAAAATAAGACTTGAAGACGTGATTTTTTTTGGTGTTAATGGAATGAATTAATCATAGCTTCAAGACGTCTATAGTGTCTGTATAAAATTCCTTTCTTGCCAGTCATGTCCGCGTCAGCGAGACTATGATTGTAATGTTCAATATCTTTTCATCAGCTCGTCAGCGTCGTAGTTCTTCTGATTTACTAAATATACTAAGTATCGGAACGAACAAGTCGGGCGCTTGATGATAAGCTACACGCCTGTCCATAACAGTTGCAGTGTCACTCAGAGCTTTAAATCACAAAGATCTTTGGTGTACTGCCCGCCCGTCAACCAGAGCCAGAGACAAGTTGACAAGTCTTATATACTTGTAATTTCACTAGCACCCTGACCCTTCAAAACCCGAACGCAGTAATGCTCACATTACTTCTTGGCGGCAGAAATAGGTAAAGTGACAGTACTTCCCTGGACGAACTCGTTCACAAGGAGCTCTACTGCTACAAAAACTTTTTGTTGATGCAGTACATTCTACACCCCGACACAATAGAACACACCAGATCATACTCGTAAACCTAGACATGAGTTTTTTATCTCTATTTCCTACTTACTTATGTCATAAGTTTCTTTGTAATGTACTGTGATTCAACAAAGAAACGAATTGTCTGTCTAGTACAAAAAATCATTCTGGAATCTTATACGAGTTGATCAAAGAAATTTAGTCTAAAAAATTTGCTCACAAAAAGCTCATTCGAATTGAAATCTTCCATAGTTGAACAACATAAGTCTTCTACATTTTGCATTGCTACTAGCTTATACATGAATAAATCTTAAAAGCGTTTTCTGTGTTTTAAAATGCGTGCACTAATTGTAAAACGATGTTAGGCGCGGTACGTACGGGACGTCGCATGCTCTTGCGCAATTAACTGTAATACTTATATAATATGAATATCGATGGAAAGTACGTCCTTTGGGAAAAACCTAGGAGCGGTTAGAGATTACGAAAAACATAAGTGTTATGTTGCCTATACGAAATACTTTTAAAACAAATACTGATGAGTCGTCTGATTGTCGTGTACTTTATGTACGTACAGCAGTACTAACGCTTTACACTTTAGCACATGAAGCGTTCTTATGCATTCTTTGACAACCTCCTTGGTCGAGTGACTTGCACACCGATTTTTAGGGTGTCGCCATCTCTGAAGTCCCGGGTTCGATCCCCGGTCAATGTAAAAAACTGTTGCATTGTCTTAGATCTGTTTGTGTAATAGCAGTAGAGCACCTTGTGAAAGAGTTCGTCCAGGGTAGTACTGCCACCTTACCTATTTCTGCCGCCAAGCAGTAATGTCAGTATTACTGTGTTCCGGTTTTGAAGGGTACTGGTGAAATTACAGGCACATGGGACTTATCAGCTTATGTCTTAGGGTGACGTGCGTAGTAGCTGTGACCCTAAGATCTTTGCGATTTAAAGCTCTGAGTGGCAATGCAACTGTTATGGACAGGCGTGTAGCTTACCATCAGGCGCACGACTTGTTCGCCTATTCACTAGATATTATAAAAAAAAAATCGTTGTTCCCAATTTCCGTAACACAAGTCCTTTAGTTACTTACTTTGGGATATGTAATGTTGTCTAATATTTATTTATATTTAGTTATCATAATTGAAATATACACCCCCGGACACATAATTCGTGCCACTTTGCAGTTTCAGTATTAAAAGGTCTGCTTAAAAAATTTTTGATCGATCAAAAAGTATTACGCGAATTTTAAATAAATTAGACTAAATGCCATTTCCTATATGTCCATATTGAAAATTTAAATTTGTAAAACCGGGTAAAACTTTTTCTTCGATGAAAACAATATTTATGTACTTTAGCCCTTTAAGAATAAAAAAGCCACCTTGCTAGCGAAAAACTAAAATAATATTAGGAAATGAAACTATTTTTCCGGATTTAAATCGCGTATATTTGTTTTTTCAACCGTGACCATGGGACCTGTAAAGGGCCCGAAACGTCGGTTTGTTTGAAAAAACAAATATACGCGATTTAAATCCGGAAAAATAGTTTCATTTCCTATGTGTAACAATCGCGAAAACCTAAGAACTCGATAAAATAATATTAGTTTTCTTAAAATTTGATACTACAGACACTTAAAAAGAAACTAAAGAAACTGATTTATTGCTCGAGCGTCTACCGTATCGACCTCATTTTCATTTATTGTTAGGAGAGACTGTGAATAAACAATAAGAAAAGGTTATTATTTTTAAATATTTACTATAAACTATTACAAAATTACAAACAATAATTAATTACTCGTAACAAACCATGCAAAATATATTAATTGTAAATTTTAATTAATAATGCAGCTACCTATTAGGTAACTTATTTTACGGTAGTAAATCGTTGACAAGGATGCTTGTTAATTATGGATTAACCACGGCCTGAATTATGAATAACGATGTTAGTCAT